CAAGTGCATAACCTTACATTTATCAACATTAAACCTCATTTGCCACACAGTTGCCCAATTAACCAGTGCATTGAGGTCGGCTTGTAAATTGAAGACATCCTGTAAGGACATTATTCCACTGCACAGCTTGGTGTCATCTGCAAAGACTGAAATGGGATTTTTAATCCCAGACCCTATATTGTTTATAAATATAATAAAAAGTAAGGGTCCCAACACTGAACCTTGGGTACACCACTGACGACCCTAGACCATTCAGAGTATGAATCATTAACCACTACTCTATGAATACAATCTTTTAGCCAGTTTTCTAGCCATTTACATACAGATTTTTCCAAGCCTGTAGACTTTACCTTACACATTAGCCGTGTGTGGGGAACTGTGTCAAACGCTTTTGCAAAATCCAAGTATACCACGTCCACAGCCACCCCTCTGTCCAAGGTTTTGCTCACACCCCCTCATAAAAAGAAATCAGATTTGTTTGACAACTTCTGTCTTTCATGAATCCATGCTGTCTGTTGCTTAAAATATTTTTTTTCAGCAAGAATTCATCGATGTGGTCTTTAATTAAACTGTCCAGTATCTTCCCAACTATAGAAGTTAAACTAACAGGTCTATAATTACTTGGTAAAGATTTTGATCTCTTTTTAAATATAGGCACCACATTGGCCTTATGCCAATCCAGTGGTACTATGCCAGTCATTGAAGAGTCCCTAAAAATTAGAAACAATGGCTTTGAAATGACAGAGCTCAATTCTTTAGTCCTCATGCACACCGGACATTTTTACAGCTGCTGTTTTTGGCTTTAGTAAACTCCCCAGCATGTTATCCTATGTGTCCATGCACACATAGACCATAATCAACATTTTTTGGCTGGAAACCCCCCCCCCCCCCCCCCCCAGAACTAGTGGGTTTCTAGAGGAGTTTTTTTTAGATGTAAAATCACTGTAACACTGAAAAATGCAGCAAAACACGGTAAATCGCGGCAAACCAGCATTTTTGGATTTTTTTTTTAGGGAAAAAATGTTATAAACTGCAAACACGGAAAAACGCAGCAAGACGCCGCTAAACGCAAATGTAAAAACACTAAAAGCCGCTGAAAAACTCACATTTTTAATGTAACTTTACACAGCTAACGTTACCAGCATTATTAAAACTGCCTAGTGTGCATGGAGCCTAAAGGACCCGTGGGTGTATGCCATCCAGTCTGGGTGCTTTATTTATCTTTATTCTCTCTAAATATTTCTGGATCATATCAATTGTGATCCAATGTGGATCATCTGGAGCTGTGTCAATACTATGCCCATTATAGACAAGAGCTCCCCTATGCTCCTTTGTATACACAGAGCTGAAGAAGGTATTTAATAAAATTTGCCTTCTCTTTGTCCCCATTCACCCACTCTAGATTATTTTGAAAAGGGCCAACATGCTCGGACCTGACCTTTTTACTATGATTATATATTTGTATAATTTGTTGGGGTTTGTCCTGCTATCTCTTGCAACCTATCGTTCATTTTTGTAGCCTTGATTTCCCTTTTAAATATTCTGTTATATTCTTTGTAATGTTTAAACGATAATAGTGTTCCTTCATTTTATAAAAGCCATTTTCTTATTATTTATAGCTTTTTTTAACTTTGGCCGTAAGCCACATAGGTTTGATTTTTAGCCTTTTAAACTTGTTGCCCATGGGAATATATTTTGCATTGTGTTCACATACAGTCTTTTTGAAGAATTCCCATTTCTGTGTTGCGTTCATCGATGCCAATATTCCCTCCCAGTCTAAGTCTTGAAGAGCAGCTCTCTTAAAGTTGAGCATTTTTTATTTTTCTATTTTGTGCATGTTGTTTACAGCTAACAATAAATTAAATCATATTATGGTCACTGCTCCTTAGATGTTCTTTTATATGGACATCTTCAATCTCTCCCTCTCCTCAGGCACTTTCCCCTCCCCTCTGAAAGATGCACACATCACCCCCATACTTAAAAAGCCCTCCCTGGACCCCAATGACCCGAATCAACCTCAGACCCATCTCCCTGCTCCCATTTACATCTAAACTCCTCGAGCGCCTAGTCTACACCCGCCTATGCTCTCACCTCAACGACAACAACCTCCTCGGTCCCCTACAGTCCAGCTTCCGCCCCCTACACTCCACCGAAACTGCCTTACTCAAACTCTCCAACGACCTGCTAACCGCCAAAGCTAATGGCCACTATTCAGTGCTCCTACTCCTTGACCTCTCTGCGGCCTTCGACACAGTCGACTACCCCCTCCTCCTCAAAAAACTACACTCCCTCGGCCTCAGAGATTCTGCTCTCTCCTGGCTCTCATCCTACCTGTCACAACGCTCCTTCAGCATTACCTATAATGCTACCACCTCCCCCTCACTCCCCTCTCTGTTGGGGTCCCTCAAGGCTCTGTCCTCGGGCCCCTTCTCTTCTCCATCTATACCTCCTCCCTTGGCCAACTCATACACTCTCACGGCTTCAACTACCACCTCTATGCCGATGACGACACACAAATCTATCTCTCAACCCCCCACCTCACCCCCTTGGTCTCAGCCCGAATCACACACCTACTGAGTGACATATCAGACTGGATGTCGCTCCACTTCCTTAAATTGAACCTCTCCAAAACCGAGTTTTCTTGTCTTCCCCCCCCCAGCCCGGACACCACCCCCCATTGATTTCTCCGTCACATCCAACAACGCTACCATCAAACCCGCCCTGCAGGCCAGAGTACTGGGTGTCATTCTGGACTCCAACCTATCCTTCCAGCCCCAAGTCCAATCTTTAACAAACTCATGCAGACTCCACCTCCGCAACATCGCCAAAATCCGCACGTTCCTAACCCCAGAAACCACTAAACAGCTCATCCACTCCCTCATCATATCACGACTCGACTACTGCAACTCCCTCCTCACTGGCCTGCCTCGCCGCTGGCTATCCCCGCTTCAGTCCATCCTGAATACGGCTGCCAGACTCATTCACCTTTCCAACCGCTCTGTCTCCGCCACCCCCCTCTGCCAATCCCTCCACTGGCTTCCGATTGCGCAACGGATCAAATTCAAAATCCTAACGCTGACGTACAAAGCTGTCCACCATACTGCCCCGAACTACATCACTGACCTAATATCCAAGTACCGCCCAGCACGCACACTCCGCTCCTCACAAGACCTCCTTCTCTCTAGTTCCCTGGTCTCCTCCTCCCATGCCCGCCTCCAGGACTTCTCCAGAGTGTCACCCATCCTCTGGAACTCCCTGCCCCAACCCATCAGATTATCACCTACTCTCCTCTCCTTTAGGCGCACCCTGAAAACCCATCTCTTCAGGGAAGCCTACCCCACCCCCTGCTAACTTGCCGACCTCCTCCACTCTTCCTACCACTCCATCCCCCATAGCTATCTCCTCCTGTGCCACCCCCCCCCTCCCTCCTAGATTGTAAGCTCGAAAGAGCAGGGCCCTCGATCCCCTCATGTTTTGCATTGTATTGGTATTTTTCTGTCACATGTTCTGTCCCCCTTTGTAATGTACAGCGCTGAGCGAACTATTGGCGCTTTATAAATACTGTATAATAATAATAATAATAATTTGTAATAAGCTCTGCATGGTTTGAGCTTACCAGGTCCTGCAGAGCATCATTCCTAGTTGGAGCCTCTATGAACTGTACCATAAAATTGTTTATACATTTTTGCCCTTTAACTGTTCCTGCAGTGCCATTACCCCAGTCAGTTTCCGGGTAATATCCTGATAATACCATGTCACTGTAAAGCATGGCAGTGGTAACATCATGTTGTGGATATGTTTTTCACAAGCATGGCAAACTCAAAAGATTAACAGCAAGGTGTATATAGCAAAGTACAAGGCAATTCTACAGGAAAACTTGTTTCAATCTGAGTCCACCAGGACCCAAAAATTACACTGAGTTGGTCTGGAATCAAGAACCTGAATGCATTTAAATGGTCCAGTCAAAGCCAAGACTCCAATTCATTTGAAAAAACTGCTGTTTTCTAGAAGTCCGGATCCAGTCCGACAGAACAAGAGCAATATTGTCAAGAAGAATATGCAAAGCAGGATGCAGGTGTGCGAAGCCGCCAGGGGCTCATCACAAAAAAAAGAAAAAAAAAAAAAAAAAGATGAAATTGGAGCCAAAATATGGTTCTACCACTACTGATCAAGAGCAGCAAATATGAACTAAGCAACCACAAAATGTCCTCTTTTTAAATTTGTGGCACAATAAAACAACATAATACAAATAATCTGTACATGTAGTGTGTTTGCATATTGTGTAAATCAAATGGTGAAAATGCAATCCGTTTTACTTTCAGGCTGTTATACTGTGTAATATGGAAACATTCAAGGGGTTAATACTTATGCAAAGCACTGTGCATACACTATTGAGTGATGAGAAACTATACTCACCTCCAAGAAGCTCTTGTTTTGTTCACTTTCAGGTTCCTCTGTGGTCTCGAGCAGTTCATCCTCTTCTTCATCTACTTTGTCATTGACTTCTGCTTCTGCTGCTGCCAAAGCAATAAGCACAGAGGCCATGTATATCCAACACCAATGAAGTTGCATTGTGAATCACTAAAAGCAAAGGATTGACAGGATGATTCAACAGCAACTAACAGAAAGTACATAACATATACCCTAGCATATCTTAACTGAAGATCACAATGCACACAGTGCAATTCATTATTGTATTCAGAAGCAAAGCCAGTCTCTGGTCATCTCCTGTACTTTGTCTGCAGTCTCTGGTCATCTCCTGTACTATGTCCGCAGTTTCTGGTCATCTCCTGTTCTATGTCCGCAGTCTCTGGTCATCTCCTGTACTGGTTCCTCAGTCTCTGGTCATCTCCTGTACTGTGTCTGCAGTCTCTGATCATCTCCTGTACTGTGTCCTCAGTCTCTGGTCATCTCCTGTACTATATCCGTGGTCTCTGGTCATCTCCTGTACTGCTGTATGTCTACAGTCTCTGGTCATCTCCTGTACTATGTCCGCAGTTTCTGGTCATCTCCTGTACTATGTCCGCAGTCTCTGGTCATCTCCTGTACTATGTCTTCAGTCTCTGGTCATCTCCTGTACTGTGTCCACAGTCTGGTCATCTCCTGTACTATATCCGCAGTCTCTGGTCATCTCCTGTACTATGTCCTGCAGTCTCTGGTCATCTCCTGTACTATGTCCGCAGTCTCTAGTCATCTCCTGTACTGTGTCCACAGTCTCTGGTCATCTCCTGTACTGTGTCTGCAGTCTCTGGTCATCTCCTGTACTATGTCCACAGTCTCTGTTCACAGTCCCTGGTCATCTCCTGTACTATGTCCGCAGTCTCTTGTCATCTCCTGTACTATGTCCGCAGTCTCTGGTCATCTCCTCTACTATGTCCGCAGTCTCTGGTCATCTCCTGTACTATGTCCGCAGTCTCTGGGCATCTCCTGTACTATGTCCGCAGTCTCTGGGCGCAGTCTCTGGGCACAGTCCCTGGTCATCTCCTGTACTATGTCCGCTGTCTCTGGTCATCTCCTGTACTGTGTCCGCAGTCTCTGGTCATCTCCTGTTCTATGTCCGCAGTCTCTGGTCATCTCCTGTACTATGTCCGCAGTCTCTGGTCATTTCCTGTACTATGTCCACAGTCTCTGCTCATTTCCTGTACTATGTCTGCAGTCCATTAGTTCAGAATATTTTTTTTCTTGTTTTTCCTCCTCTAAAATCCATGTGCGTCTTATGGTCAGGTTCGTCTTATGGAGCGAAAAATACGGTATGTTATTGACAGGTTCACCAGATTTTAGCAGGTGAAAAGAAAAAAAGCCAAAAATGACATTTAATGTAGCCACCACGTCTAAGGATTGCTAAACTGCAATATATTAAACTTTTTTTTTCTTGCGCTTAGATACTTTTTAAGGATTATTAGAGCATTGTAGACATACAGTATTTAATGAATTGGAAATATATCACTTTTTACATTTACTGGGGGAAAAAAATCAAGTATTTACAAGTAATGGAAGAAAAGGAGTTTACATGAAAAAGGTATCAGATACTAGGGATTTACCTTGAATGTGAATTCTACATTGGTGCTCATAACCTTTGCCTATTATTGTTTCTATATTTAATGGCTCAGAGCTACCTCCATCAGAATCCACAGTTTATATACGACTAATTGCCGATGATCACAAATGATCCTTCTCTCTAGATAATATCAGACTCCAGAGAGTACATCATGGCTGCTCTCTGCAGTAGAAAAAAATTTATTTTATTTATGGTTCAAACACATCCCTGAACTATTTCACTAAATGATATTAATAGGTTCAAAATACCCGCTGTAAATTGTTGTTTTATTGCAATTCACAAGGAAATCATCAGTTTCAGGTCATTTCACAATGTTAATCTTTGTACTGCTTCTTTAGCTGTGAAAGTACCCCATAGGCACCAGATCCCTCTGTGCATACACCTAACGGTTTAGAACAGCAATTTAACTGACTACAGAGCTTGAATGACTGAACAAAAAATCCTAACAACACAGTCAGCAGGAATCAAAATAATCTAGCTGAAGAATTCTGGAAAATCTGCTTTGTTAATTTCCATGCATAGGGCCAGGGTGTTAAATACAGATCTGGGCTAATAAATATATCCTTTAGATTGTGTAGTATAACCTTTTGTAACTGGTTGAATCTGCTGTCTTTAAAGTGAGTTGCTATAGATTAGTTTAGGGATAAAATCAGTATTAGTTGATAGAAGGAAGTGGTGGGTTTAGAGGCAGAAGGAAGCCTGGGATTGGTGTCACCAATGTACAAATGTTTTTTTAGAATGACAAATATCTGGCAGGAGGTTGGCACTGGCATTGCATCTGTAGGATTGCAGCCTTCATCAAGGGTTTAAAGCAGGGTTTCTCAAATAGGGTTCCTCCAGAGGTTGCTAAGGGTTTCTTGAGTAATGAGCAATTTCTGACTCTCAATAAGTTCCTGCTGACACCATTGATCTTTTTAGCTATCTGTAATGGGGTAATTATTCCCACTGACCGCAAGTGTAAGGAGCATTCTTCCAACTGACCATCACACTTATGTATCATGAGTTGTACATATAGTAATTTTTAGCAGATTCCCTGACACTGGAAAGTTATTTCAAGGGTTCCTCTGTGTTCAAAAAAAAGGTTGAGAAAGGCTTGTTTAAAGCATACTGTATGTATACCAAAAAATAGGCTGCATATAAACCAATGTAGCATATAGGTCCTCACACTGATCTTGTCACTACATAACTATGTGATATAATTGTAGAATATGAGGAGTGGCACCCATAACTTTCAAGTCTTTTATTGCTATCTGCTTTACTGCTTAATGAGATATGTATTTTGAAATTTAATTTTTGGTGGAATAGATCAAATGTTCCAATCACCTCCATGGCCACAGGTATATAAAATATATACCTAGGCATGCAGACTGCTTCTACAGACATTTGTGAAAGAATGGGTCACTCTCAGGAGCTCAGTGAATTCAAGCGTGGTACTGTTTAGCTTGCCACTTGTGCGATAAGTCCATCCGTGAAATGTCCTTGCTACTAAATATTCCTCTGTCAACTGTTAGTGGCATTATAACAAAGTGGAAGCAACTAGGAATAACAGCGACTCAGCCACGAAGTGGTAGGCCACGTAAAATGACAGAGCATGCTGAAGAGCACAGTGTGCAGAAGTCGCCAATTGTCTGCAGAGTCAATAGCTGAAGACCTCCAAACTTTATGTGGCCTTCAGATTAGCAACAGTGCGTAGAGAGCTTCATGGAATGGGTTTACATGGCAGAGCAGCTGCATCTAAGCCTTACATCACCAAGTACAATGCAAAGTGTTGGATGCAGTGGTGTAAAGCATGCCGCCACTGGACTCTAGAGCAGTGGAGATGTGTTCACTGGAGTGACAAAGCACGCTTCCCTGTCTGGCAATCCGATGGACATGGTTTGGTGGTTACCAGAAGAAGGGTACTTGCCTGACTGCATTGTGCCGAGTGTAAAGTTTGATGGAAAGGGGATTATAGTGTGAGGCTGTTTTTCACAGGTTGGGCTTGGCCCCTTAATTCTAGTGAAAGGAAGAAGACATTTTGACAATTTCATGCTTCCAACTTTGTGGGAACAGTTTGGGGATAGCCCCAGTGCACAAAGCAAGGTGCATAAAGAAATGGATGAGCCAGTTTAGGGGGGAGGAACTTGACTGGCCTGCACAGAGTCCTGACCTGAACCCTACAGAACAACTTTGGGATGAATTAGAGCGGAGACTGTGAGCCAGGCCTTCTCATCCAATATCAGTGCCTGATACAAATGTGCTTCTGGAAGAATGGTCAAACATTCCTATAGACACACTCCTAAACCTTGTGGACAGCCTGCCCAGAAAAGTTGAAGTTGTTACAGCTGCAAAGGGTGGGGCAACTCAACATTGAACCCTACAGACTAAGAGTGGGATGCCATTAAAGTTCATGTGTGTGTAAGGCAGGTATCCCAATACTCTTGGCAATATAGTGTATCTCTCAAGGGCTCTGTTGTTGAGATCTCCCCACAGTACTTATAGGCTCCTCATTACTTCATAATGAAGGTGACCCATTCTCTCACAGCTGGACCCCCCCCCTCCCAATTGGTTTGTTTATTCTACATTGTGAAGAGTGTGATACCATCATATTGCTTTGAAACAGCTGAAATGGGAATTCTGGATGGTATATCTAAAAACTGGAGTTTCTTAGATTTGTAAGAAGCAATGACACATGATAGTAATGACACTGAATTGAATTATCAGTTCTGGGTAGAGCTGACATAAAAGCATATAAATTATTTATAAACACATCTATTCCTAATGGATATCAAAGAGCAAAATAACATTTGAAAGTCTAAAATCTTTACCACTATCACACCATTGATGCACACGTAATGCTCATTAAAAGTTTAAACTACCTAAACTCCCCACCAATTCCAATTTCAGATTGTTATAAAAGATGTGCTATATGTACAGTGTATGTGTGTGTATATACACACACATATATATATATATATATATATATATATATATATAGGGCCTCCATGGATCCAACTTGTTTTTCCAGCACATCCCACAGATTCTCGATTGTGATGAAATTTAGAGAATTTAGAGGCCAACACCTCAAATATGCCATCTACCCAAGAATACCCAGGGAATACCATTGGAGATAATCAATGTTATTTGCTTAACCTTTCAGTGGTCATACATTTATGGCTGATCGGTGTTTGTGCATGTATACAAATATATATATATATATATACACATACACACATATATACACACACACACACTATATTGCCAAAAGTATTGAGACACCTGCGTTTACATGCACATGAACTTTAATGGCATCCCAGTCTTAGTCCATAGGGTTCAATATTGAGTAGACCCACCCTTTGCAGCTATAACAGCTTCAACTCTTCTGGGACGGCTGTCCACAAGGTTTGGGAGTGTGTTTATTGGAATGTTTGACCATTCTTCCGAAGTGCATTTGTGAGGTCAGGTACTGATGTTGGACGAGAAAGCCTGCCTTGCAGACTCCGCTCTAATTCATCCGAAAGGTGTTCTGTTGGGTTGAGGTCAGGACTTTGTGCAGCTCAGTCAAGTGACTCCACCCCAAACTCACTCATCCATGTCTTTATGGACCTTGCTTTGTGCACTGGTGCGCAGTCATGTTGGAACAGGACAGGGCCATCCCCAAACTGTTCCCACAAAGTTGGAAGCAGGAATTTGTCCAAAATGTCTTGGTATGCTGACGCCTTAAGAGTTCCCTTAACTGGAACTAAGGGGACAAGCCCAGCCCCTGAAAAGCAACCCCATACCATAATCCCCCCTCCACCAAACTTTATACTTGGCACAATGCAGTCAGACAAGTACCGTTCTCCTGGCAACCGCCAAACCCAGACATGTCCATCAGATTGCCAGAGAAGCGTGATTCGTCACTCCGGAGAACAAGTCTCTACTGCTCTAGAGTCCAGTGGCGGTGTGCTTTACACCACTGCATCCGATGCTTTGCATTCCACTTGGTGATGTAAGGCTTGGATGCAGCTGCTCTGCCATGGAAACCTATTCCATGAAGCTCTCTACGTACTGTTGTTGTGCTATTCTGAAGGCCACATGTGTTTGGAGGTCTTTAGCTTTTGACTCTGTAGACAATTGGCGACTTCTGTGCACTGTGTACTTCAGCATGCGTTGACCCCGCTCTGTCATTTTACGTGGCCTACCACTCTGTGGCCGAGTTGCTGTTGTTCCCAGTTGTTTCCACTTTGTTATAATAACACTAACAGTTAACTAACTGTGGAATATTTAGTAGGAAGGAAATTTCACAGATGGACTTATTGCACAGGTGGCAACCTATCACAGTAACACACTTGAATTCACTGAGCTCCTGAGAGCAACCCATTCTTTCACAAATGTTTGTAGAAACAGTCTGCATGCCTAGGTGCTTGATTTTTTTACACCTGTGGCCATGGAGTTGATTGGAAACACCTGAATCCAATAAATTGGAGGGGTGTCCCAATACTTTTGGCAATATAGTATGTGTGTATATATATATATTTGTTACCTACTGTACTAAAAAACAAAACAGTTTAGTGAAGTCAAACATGAATTCTGATAGATTGCTATGGGTTGCTGCCTACTCATAGTAGAATGGATTGCTACCTATGTAGTAGAATTGGTTGTTGCAGGTAACTATGGATTATGTTTGTGTTACTATGGAGTTGATGTTCACACATAGTAGGAAATGCGTGACAATTTGCATGAATATTAAAGATTACAATAAACCTACTTTTTTTTACAATATATATATACATACAGTTGTGCTCCAAAGTTTGTATACCCTGGCAGAAATCATAACATTTTGGCATTGATATGGAAAATATGACCAATGATGCTAAAAATCTCTTTAAGGATAGTGATCATATGAAGTCATTTATGATCACATACTGTAGTTGCTTGGCTCCTTTTTAAATCATAATAACAGAAATCACCCAAATTGCCCTGACCAATAGTTTTCATACCTGGAATGTTTGGCCTTGGTACAGACCAGGGGCGGACTGACCATTTGGAAACTTGGGCACTGCCCAAGGGCCCGGGGTCAGTAGGGGGCCCCATGAGATGCCCCTGGTAACTTTTTCATAGGCTTTTTTAAGTTTGGGCAAGGACACAGGGGCCCCATGATCCCCTATTGCCTGGGGGCCCCATGAGTTGTCAGTCTGCCCCTGGTACAGACACATAAGGTGACACACACAGGGTAAAATGGGAATTAAAGGTTAATTTCCCACATCTGTGACTTTTTAGATTGCAATTAATGTCTGTGTATAAATAGACAATGAAGTTGTTAGATATCATGTAGATGCACTTAGCAGGCTAGATACTGAGCCATGGAGAGTAGATTAGAACTTCTTAGAAGACAAGCGTAACAAGGTAATAGAACTTTATAGAGATGGAAAAGAATATAAAAAGATATCCAAAGCCTTAAATATGCCAGTCAAAGACAAAGCCAAAGGTAACCTCAGGAGAAATACAGGCTGCTCTGGAAAAAGATGGTAAGGGAAGAAAAGGACGCGCCAGATATGTGCAGTATGTATGTAAGATGATTTATTAAAAGTGGTTAAAAACACTCACAGAATAGCTGAAATGCAAGACTTATCAGATTCACTCCTTTTAGTAGGGCCCACCACTGTCAACCAGGCTAGGATATGGGGCCAGGACACCCTGTGTACACCAGGAAGTGCACCGGAACAAGAACGGAAAGCGGAAGTGACATCACTGGAAGAAGGAGAGGATCAGGACCAGTGTCACTCCTTCCAGTGACGTCACTTCTGTCCGTGCGACCATGCAGCCCCCTTCTCTGGGGCCCCCTCCTAGGCTACACAGCAGCACTTCAATCCTCCATCTTCCACCTGACTCTCCTTCTGGCCAGACTGTGTCATATTTATTGGCAAGTCCGCCACACTGCCAGGCCTCCTGCCTGGGATTGGTCAGACTCCCATAAATATGCAGATCAGCCCCTCCTCACTTCCACTCACTGACTACTAGAAGCTTCTTCAAGCTTCTAGAGCAGGTGGAGGTACCAGAGGACTGACCTGTAGAGCCCTCCAACTTAATCTGATGTAACCCTCTATCTAAACACAGGCTTTAAGCAAGCCTCTAACTTTACATAGTTACATAGTCTGGCTAAAAAAAAAAAAAAAAGTCTATCCAGTTCAACCATCAAAAAAAAGTTCTACCCCTATACCGACAATCCAGAGGAAGGCAAAAAACCCAGCAAAGCATGATCCAATTTGCTCCTGCAGGGGACAAAATGCCTTCTTGATCCCCGAGAGGCAATCAGATATTCCCTGGATCAACTTTACCTATATATGTTAGTAACCAGTTATAGTCTGTGTATCTAAGAAAGAATCCAGACCTTTTTTAAAGCAATCCATTCAGCTAGCCAGAACTAACTCATGAGGGAGTCTATTCCACATTTTCACAGCTTTTACTGTGAAGAAACCTTTCCATATTTGGAGATTAAATGTATTTTCCTCCAGACATAAAGAGTGCCCCCTTGCCCTCTGTGATGACCTCAGGGTGAATAATTCTACACCGAGTTCACTATATGAACCACTGATGTATTTATACATGTTGATCATATCCCCCCTTAATCTCCTCTTCTCAAGAGAGAATAAATTCAGTTCCTCTAATCTTTCCTCATAGCTGAGCTCCTCCATGCCTCTTATCAGTTTGGTTGCCCTTCTCTGTACTTTCTCCAGTTCCCCAATGTTCTTTTTGTGAATTGGTGCCCAAAACTGAACTGCATATTCCAGATGAGGTCTTACTAATGATTTGTACAGGGGTAATATGATATCTCTCTCTGGAGTCTATACCTCTTTTAATACGAGAGGATTTTGCTCGCTTTAGAAACCGCAGCTTGGAATTGCATGCTATTAAGCTTGTGACCTACCAGAACTCCCAGATCCTTCTCCACCATTGATTCCCCCAGTTGTACCCCCCCTGGTATGTGTGATGCATGCATATTCTTAGCCCCCAAGTGCATAACCTTACATTTATCAACATTAAACCTCATTTGCCACATAGTTGCCCAATTAAACAGTGCATTGAGGTCGGCTTCTAAATTGGA